TTGGGACCGTTAAAAGCTTACAACATAGAAGACGAGATATCGTAGGCCGCTGACAACAAGGAGCAAAATACCCCTGCGACATAGTGTAGGTGCTGCACCAGATAGAGGCATCAGTGGGAAGGGAAGTCACTCTCATTGTGGACCGCTTATCGGGTAATGTACCATGTATAAACACCCACACCCACACACACACATACACACACGTACACACACACACTATAACAAACAAACAAACAAACAAAACGTATAACTACTACTACTGTACACAGTGCTGACGACTGAGCAGCAATTGCACGGGAGTGGCAGGACCTTGTCATTTGCTGATGACGTCTTGGTATATCGACATGGAAAAGATCGTCAAGAAATAGTTAATTCAATGCAGAGAGAACTTGATCGCATCTCCTCCTGCTGTGTAGATTCTAATGCTTATGTCAACCCTTTGAAGGTCTCAGTAACGTGGTTCTCCTTGAACACGCTTATGGTGAAGGCAGACTTACCAGCAGTGGAAAGCAGAGAGGAAATTTTGACGAGATCTAATGACATACCTCAGAGTCAGATTTGATCGCAGCCTGCTGTCCTTCAAAGAACATGTTGACCATGTTATAACAAAAACACGCAAAGGCCTGTCAGCAATGAGGGTCATGGAAGCCGCTAATACTGAGCAGAGACTGCTTCTGCTTCTGTTCCAGGGACTTGTACTTTCTTCCATCGAAATTGTTCCAGCCATCCTCACTGTCAGCCATACTCAGACTGAAAGACTTGAGAACTTAGAGAACGAAGCAATGCACATTATTCTGGGGTGCACTGGAGACATCTCTTGTGTAGCAATGAGGTACCTTTTTGACTTCCCTACCATGAACTACTTGATCAAGATCTGGAGAGCTCTTACATACCTCAAGACAAGCTCAGATCTGAAGCACCCTTTGTACCACATGCTCTCCAGGAAAAAGGACAAAAGACTTAAAAGGGGCAAATCATGGCTGGGTAGGGCAGGTCTGCAGCCTTACAGACATCCATCCAGGTGAGGAATGGATACCAGTGTCTAAAGCGCCCAATCTAACATTCTCCTGTGTCGTGGCGCTTGATAGTTGTCGGGAGCAGAATCCCGCTGTTGTCAACGCTGAGGAATGTGCGCTTATCAGTAACAAGTCAGATGCGACATATGTGCTGATCTTCACAGAGGGATCCGATATACGAGGACATAAGAGTGCATGGGCATTTACAGCTCGCTCTTCGGGTAGAACAGTTCAAGAAGCCAACGATACCTTTTCCATGACTATCAGCAGCATGACGATGGAGTTGGTGGAGGTGACACAAGATTTCATGTGGCTAGAATCACAAGACTATTCCGGTGTGTAAATGCTGAATGATTCTCTAAGCATGATCCGGCTGGCCGAAGCGGGCTGGTTAGGCAGACAGTGGATTGAGTCATTGCAAAACTGTCCTGTGTTTTATTTGTCCCAGGGTATGCAGGTGTTGTTGCTAATGAAAGAGCTGATAGACTGGCAGGTGCCGCAATAATTGAAAATGGTAGGTCCATCGATCACGCAGACAATATCAATGCCCTTAGACAGATAGAACTTTCCAAGGATTTTGGGAGCAACGTGTCCACATTTTTGCTAAGAATACGAGAATTGGGAGTAAAGATCAGCACAGCCAAGAATGAGAAGCCCACGGGACGCAAACAAAGTCTTGTCAACCAGCAATGGACTGGCACTATTAACCGCGCGACGGTATGAATATGTTGATTGGGGAATCTGAGCGCCTATGGATGTGTCCGGAGTGCTGTGATCCAACTCATAACTCAGAAATATAACTTTTCCACAACTTTGACATTCAACCCCTTTTGTAATTTACTGAATGAAATTGTTCACACTATACACGTAAATACATTAGGGTTTAACCAGTCAAATGACAGTTCTTTTGCATACGGGCCCTCGATAGTTTTTAGGCTTACGGGTCTATCCTATCAACTAATAAAAACACGGAATGTGATTATTATGCGTTCCTTTCTATTTTTCTCCTTTCTATTTTTTTAAACAGTATATATTGAAAGTATGTATGAGTGTATGTATGGGTGTATGTATGCATGTATGTATGCGTGTATGTATGGGTGAGTGTTTAGACACTGTCATTGTATAGCTCACAGTGGATTACTACTGTAATAACAAGTACTACTATTCTTACGATTGCTATTGCTGCTACAACTACTACTATTACTTCTAAAAGTATTACTGCTGTTACTGAAATTTCTACTACAGCACGATTACTATATGTTCTGCCTGTCTGTCTGTCTTCTGTCTGTCTGTCTGTCTGTCCGTCCGACCGTCCATCTATTCATTCTTCTTTCGGTCTGTCTTACTGCCTAGCTGTCTGTCTGTCGCCATGCCTGTCTATCTACATGTCTTCCTGTCTGTCTGTCGTATGATCTGTGTGGTGTGTAGCTGTGTGTACGTGCTGATTTGTGTATTTAATTATCCGTGTCTGTGTCTGATTGTCTACTTGTCGTCACTTATGTCTCTCAGTATGTTTATTTGTCTGGCTGCAGTGGGCCTGCGTGCCTTCCTGCCTGCCCGTCTGTCTGTTTGTCTGCCTTTCTGTCTGTCTGTCTGTCTGTCTGTCTGTCTGTCTGTCTGTCTGTCTGTCTGTCTGTCTGTCTGTCTGTCTGTCTGTCTGTCTGTCTGTCTGTCTGTCTGTCTGTCTGCCTTCTAGCCTGCCTGTCTCACTGTCTGTATGCCTGCCTGCCTGTTTGTCCGTCTTTTTCTGTCTACCTGACTGTCTGCCTGTTTGCCCGTCTTTTTGTCTGTCTGCCTGCCGTTCTGTTTGTATGCCTGCCCGCGTGCATTCCTGCCTGCCCGTCTGCCTGCCTGCCTTCCAATCTATGCTTGTATGTTTGTCTGTCTGTCACACTGTCTGTCTGTCTGCCTTTCTGTCTACCCGTTTGTCTGTCTGTCTGCCTGCATTCTAGCCTGTGCTTTTCACTGTATGTCTGTCTGGCAGCTTGAGATACATAACATTTGATTGCAGCCACAGACAACAATAAGCAGTTGTACAAGCAGTGCATCTGCTCATCGTACACCACCTGCGCCCCAACCAACAGCACCATCGATAACCCGCCGCCTCAAACTACCCAGTCATCATCAACCACCACAACAACGCCTACAACAACTACCACATCCACGACTCCAACAACTACCTCCACGACGATAACTACCACCACCACGCCAACAACTATTACTAGCACCACACCAACTACAACTTCGACAACAACGACAACAACGACATCAACAACAACGCCAGCAACAACTTCGACAACAACGCCAACAACAACTTCAACAACAACAACGCCAACAACGACCTCCACAACAGCTTCAACAACAACAACACTGCCGCCCTTTAGATCACGTGAGTATAATGTGCAGTCTCTTTTTACTGTGTACAGTTTCAAGTCATTGTGGTAGTATCAGTTGAAGGCAAGCAAGCGTTACAAGATGGCATGATAACGTCAAGAGATGGACAGCAGTCCAGGTGAGTAAATATATTCAAACCGAAAGACTGAGAAAGCCAGCTTTCATTGTGAAGACGTCCACTGATTGATTGAGTGATTGAAACAACTTGGTGGTGAACTGATGTATGACAACCTAGATGTTGTAAGGGCCCTTTGGAAGCGAGTGAACAGTGCGGAGGCACAGATAGATCATTACAGTGAGGAGAATGGCGCTGCGAGGAGTTACCAGGGGATCTGGCCGACGCTCAAACCTCATGGTAAAGGCGAGACAAATATACAATCAGACAGTTACTGGTGCCATCGGATTTGGAACTCTTCGCTTCCTGCTAAATATGGGGACGGGGCGCTTATTGCAGTGCCCCGAGTGCTATGATGTCGATTCCATATTCAACATTCAACATTCAAACCCATTTAATACACCTTATGGATTTCACTTTTTCCGCGAATTAAAGCTGTCGTGTGATATGTTATCTTTTCATTTACTTTTAGCTAGAAGACTACAGAAATCTGGCTTTGCTAGGGGCTGCTTCCGTTAATATATTTACTATATAAAGTCGAGAGAATCGACTTCATTACATCCGTTTTTTTTTTTTTTGGTTTTTTTTTTTCAAACCCCACATGGGTTGGTCAATCTTCGCAGAAGGGTTAGTTGCTGCAAAGAACGTAGAAACAAAGAATGAGCTTCCTAGCTCCAGTGACAAGCCCCTTAATCAAAGATGAAAATTATACCAGCCACCAGCGAATGCTTAGTGTAACAAAAAAAATTTCAGTCCTGAGTTTCTTAAGCATGTTTAAATGTACTGACTGCACTCATAGGTAAAAGCAGACGAGTAGAGATAGAAAAGCACACAAGAAAATATCAAAATTATCAGCTACAATAACTAGAAAAGAAACTGACGTCTACAAACGACAACAGCGTCTATATGTGGCAACATGTCTTATTCTACACATGGGTATCTAAACACCGGAAGTACACCTACAGGCCTAATTGGATACGCTTTGGAAAGTAGTTGATTTTTCTGATTGAAACACGCTGCAGCGCGTTGCCGTTTTTCTGGCCCACCTTGTACTTCAGTGGCTTGTATGTACCCGTGATACTCGCATGTTATGTTATATTATCACAGTCGAGATCACTGCACATTAGGCTTTCCCATTCGTGCTCAATCCTCTAACGCATCAGTCACTCCAAGGTACCTCTGCTGATTGTTCCAGTGTGAAGTTGGTTATAGTTTTAATTGTTTTGGCCTCAATGACGACATAAACGTGTTTTAAAGCTTTACTCTTAAGCCACGCAATCGTGTTAGCACAAGAGATTCTTCCCTGTCCACCATCCTAGTGCGTGCAGCATCGATGATATCAGTTCTGTCCCTGCCTCTTCCCATGTGCATTGGAACATTACTTGGTACGTTATTTATCCTTAGGCTAACTGACCCGTACGCCTTTAAAAAAAATTATCGCAAACTTACCCAATAATTTGTCATTTCTCTGGCAGTCTGTGATAGCGGCTTCCGTCTTTTAAATGGAGAAACAGCCTCGACTTGTGACATTAATGGAGTCGCCAACATCACCATGATGGATGGAGCCCTGGCGATTTGCAACGCTGTCTATGCCACTGCCACAGTCGACGGCGACTACAAAGAGACTTTCATCACAGCATCCATGTGTAAAACCTTTATAGAATCACAGAATGATACGATGTGAGTATTACTGTTCTTGTCTCAACTAGTACGATGTGAGTATTACTGTTCTTGTCTCCACTAGTACGATGTGAGTTTTACTGTTCTTGTCTTCACTAGTACGATGTGAGTAATACTGTTCTTGTCTCTACTAGTACGATCTGAGTATTACTGTTCTTGTCTCCACTAGTACGATGTGAGTATTACTGTTCTAGTCTCCACGTGTACGATGTGAGTATTACTGTTCTAGTCTCCACTAGTACGATGTGAGTATTACTGTTGTAGTCTCCACGTGTACGATGTGAGTATTACTGTTCTTGTCTCCACTAGTGCGATGTTTGTATTCTTGTCTCCACTAGTACGATGTGGGTATTTCTGTTCTTGTCTCCACTATTGCAAAGTGAGTATTACTGTTCTAGTCGCCACTAGTACGATGTGAGTATTTCTGTTCTTGTCTCCACTAGTACGATGTGGGTATTTCTGTTCTTGTCTCCACTAGTGCGATGTGAGTATTTCTGTTCTTGTCTCCACTAGTACGATGTGAGTATTTCTGTTCTTGTCTCCACTAGTGCGATGTGAGTATTAGTGTTCTTGTCTCCACTAGTACGATGTGTGTATCACTGTTCTTGTCTCCACTAGTACGATGTGAGTATTACAGTTCTTGTCTCCACTAGTACGATGTGAGTATTACTGTTCTTGTCTCCACTAGTACGATGTGAGTATTACAGTTCTTGTCTCCACTAGTGCGATGTGGGTATTATTGTTCTTGTCTACACTAGTACGATGTGAGTATTACTGTTCTTGTCTCCACTAGTACGATGTGAGTATTACTGTTCTTGTCTACACTAGTACGATGTGAGTATTACTGTTCTTTTCTCTGCTAGTACGATGTGAGTATTACTGTTCTTGTCTCCACAAGTACGATGTGAGTATTACTGTTCTAGTCTCCACTAGTACGATGTGAGTATTACTGTTCTAGTCTCCACTAGTACGATGTGAGTATTACTGTTCTTGTCTCTACTATTGCAAAGTGAGTATTACTGTTCTAGTCTCCACTAGTACGATGTGAGTATTACATTTCTTGTCTCCACTAGTACGATGTGGGTATTTCTGTTCTTGTCTCCACTAGTACGATGTGAGTATTACTGTTCTTGTCTCCACTAGTACGATGTGAGTATTACTGTGCTTGTCTCCACTAGTACGATATGAGTATTACTGCTCTTGTCTCCACTTGTACGATGTGAGTATTACTGTTCTTCTCTCCACTAGTGCGATGTGAGTATTACTATTCTTGTCTCCACTAGTACAATGTGTGTATCAGTGTTTTTGTCTCCACTAGTACGATGTGAGTATTACTGTTCTTGTCTCCACTAGTACGATGTGTGTATTACTGTTCTTGTCTCCACTAGTGCGATGTGTGTATTAGTGTTCTTGTCTTCACTAGTACGATGTGTGTAATACTGTTCTTGTCTCCACTAGTACGATGTGAGTATTACTGTTCTTTTCTCCACTAGTGCGATGTGTGTATTAGTGTTCCTGTCTTTACTAGTACGATGTGTGTATTACTGTTCTTGTCTCCACTAGTGCGATGTGTGTATTCTTGTCTCCACTAGTGCGTTGTGTGCATTACTGTTCTTGTCTCCACTAGTGCGATGTAAGTATTACTGTTCTTGTCTCTACTAGTGCGATGTGAGTATTAGTGTTCTTGTTTCCACTAGTGCGATGTGTGTATTACTGTTCTTGTCTCCACTATTGAGATGTGTGTATTACTGTTCTTGTCTCCACTAGTGCTATGTGAGTATTAGTGTTCTTGTCTACACTAGTACGATGTAAGTATTACTGTTCTTGTCTCCACTGTTGCGATGTGAGTGTTACTGTTTTTGTCTCCACTAGTGCGATGTAAGTATTACTGTTCTTGTCTCTACTAGTGCGATGTGAGTATTAGTGTTCTTGTTTCCACTAGTGCGATGTGTGTATTACTGTTCTTGTCTCCACTATTGCGATGTGTGTATTACTGTTCTTGTCTCCACTAGTGCTATGTGAGTATTAGTGTTCTTGTCTCCACTAGTACGATGTAAGTATTACTGTTCTTGTCTCCACTGTTGCGATGTGAGTGTTACTGTTTTTGTCTCCACTAGTGCAATGTGCGTATTAGTGTTCTTGTCTCCACTTGTACGATGTGAGTATTTATGTTCTCGTCTCCACTAGTACGATATGACTATTACTGTTCTTATCTCCACTAGTGCGATGTGAGTATCACTGTTCTTGTCTCCACTAGTACGATATGACTATTACTGTTCTTGTCTCCACTAGTACGATGTGAGTATTACTGTTCTTGTCTCCACTAGTACGATGTGAGTATTGCTGTTCTTGTCTCCACTAGTACGATGTGGGTATTACTGTTGTAGTCTCCACTAGTACGATGTGAGTATTACTGTTCTTGTCTCCACTAGTACGATGTGAGTATTGCTGTTCTTGTCTCCACTAGTACGATGTGGGTATTACTGTTCTTGTCTCCACTAGTACGATGTGAGTATTACTGTTCTTGTCTTCACTAGTACGATGTGAGTATTACTGTTCTTGTCTCCACTAGTACGATGTGAGTATTGCTGTTCTTGTCTCTAAAGTATTACTGTTCTTGTCTCCACTAGTACGATGTGAGCACTACTGTTCTGTCCCCACACACATCTTCCCTCAAGTAAGGCTTCTTCCTCCCCCCAACCTTTTTCCCCTTTCACTCTTTCTCCTCTCTTTCTCTTTCTTTCTCCTCTCTTTCTCCTCTCTTTCTCCTCTCTTTCTCTTTCTTTCTCTGTATATTTTTTCTATCCTTAGTTTTCTTTATTTTCTTTCCCTCTTTCTCTTTTCTGCTTGTCTGTCTGTCTGTCTGTCTGTCTGTCTGTCTGTCTGTCTGTCTGTCTGTCTGTCTGTCTGTCTGTCTGTCTGTCTGTCTGTCTGTCTGTCTGTCTGTCTGTCTGTCTGTCTGTCTGTCTGTCTCTGTCTGTCTGTCTGTCTGTCTGTCTGTCTGTCTGTCTGTCTGTCTGTCTGTCTGTCTGTCTGTCTGTCTGTCTGTCTGTCTGTCTGTCTGTCTGTCTGTCTGTCTCTCTTTCTCTTTCCTTCTGTCCTCTTTTTCTTCTCTTTTTTTCTCTCTGTCCTCTTTTCCATTTTTCCTCTTTTTTTTCACTCACTCCGTTCCTGTTTCTCTCCTAATTTTTCCCTAATGCGAAAGCACATCCACAGTTTCAAATCCTATCCACAAGGGATTATTAAAAAAAAAAAGACTTTATCTCACAGGTCGACCCAGCCAAGAATGGACCCAGGTAATGTCCTGGCAATAAAAGGTGGCCAAAGTCATGTTGAACATCTCACCCGATAAATTCTGTTTGGTCTATAAAATACGAAACTAGCGTTATATGCCCACTGCGCCAATGGCGAAAACGGTTCCCGTGATTCACTTGTTACTTCATCCAGAACAGTAAAACCCATACTTCATCGAGAATACTGTCAAAAAACTCAGATTATATTCTTTTCTTTTTCAGCTTTGATATACAAATTGGTAAACAAAGATATCAATAACAATGGGTAATAAGGATTTCGGCAAAGAAAACGACTCACACAGAATTTTATTTACACGCATCAGACGGAGACAATTTATCAGCAGCTCTGACAGTAAGAAAACATGCCCCCCAACCCCCACCCGACCCTTTCATGTTTTCTTGGTGGAGACTCAAGAAGCTTTATCTTAGCTTGAGCGGATAATAAAAATAATTCAATTAATGACAAATAAGTGTAATATTTGAAATAATAACAAATGTATAAACATAAACTTTTGTAATCTACATTATTTCACATACTAAAAAGGGAAAACTGGCTTACATCGTGATATAATTCTATCTCATTGACATACCTTTGTGGGATACAATTTTTCGTTTTTTGAAGAACAGTAAAACCCATACTTCATCAAGAATACTGTCAAAAAACTTAGATTATATTCTTTTCTTTTTCAGCTTTGATATACAAATTGGTAAACAAAGATATCCCGTTATCCCGCCCCTGTTTACCTTGGTGGAAGGCATGTATCTTTTGTTTCTTTCTAATTACCACTTGCATACCGGCACCGCTTTTTTCTCCTAGGAAAAAAAAAAGATTCTCTGATTAATTTGAATATTTCTGGCCAAGAGAAACACCGGTGGAAGCTGGCGGAATTGCAAAAGACAGGAAGTTCATATTAGTGCAAAATTATAGCTATAGACAATATGTTTCAAGCAAATGAAAGAAGAAGAAGAAGAAGAAGAAGAAGAAGAAGAAGAAGAAGAAGAAGAAGAAGAAGAAGAAGAAGAAGAAGAAGAGAAGAAGAAAAGAAAAAGAAGAAGAAACGAAGAAGAAGAAGAAGAAAAGAAGAAGAAGAAGAAGAAGAAGAAGAAGAAGAAGAAGAAGAAGAAGAAGAAGAAGAAGAAGAAGAAGAAGAAGAAGAAGAAGAAGAAGAAGAAGAAGAAGAAGAAGAAGAAGAAGAAGAAGAAGAAGAAGAAGAAAAGAAGAAGAAGAAGAAGAAGAAGAAGAAGAAGAAGAAGAAGAAGAAGAAGAAGAAGAAGAAGAAGAAGAAGAAGAAGAAGAAGAAGAAGAAGAAGAAGAAGAAGAAAAGAAGAAAAAGAAGAAAAAGAAGAAAAAGAAGAAGAAGAACGAACGAATGAACGAACGAACAAACTTTATTTTCAAAGGGTTACAAATTGGGCAGGCAGGCCCGTCTGATATTCGGCCCTTCTAAGCACTCATTTTTCAGGGTACCAATGCCTGTTATCTAAAATGCATGTTATAGATATAGAATAAAAATATACATTATAGAATATAATACATACATCATGTGTACACAATCTTACACACTCACACACATATATATATATCACATTCTCATGCATGCACACTCATATACAGACATACCTAACACATACATACATACATACATACATACATACATATATACATCTACATATATACACAAACAGAAAAGACACACACATACATATATGGACATATATGCACACACACATTCTATACATGCACACCTACACATGCATGCATGCATACACACACATACAATCACATGTACAGATACCCACAACCACACATTTACACTCACATGAAAACATACATACACACATATACATACACACATCAATACACACTCCTACATCTTTACACACATACATGCATATATACCTAAATACCTAAATACACACACGTACACCCACATACTTATACATCTACAAATGCATACACAAATCCACAAACATGCATACATACACACACCCACATACATGCCGACACACATTACATACATACCCACACATGCATGCATACACACACATAAAATCAACCATACAGATACTCACATACATACATACACTCATGCATACATACATACTTGCCTACATTATGTACACACATACACTCATGTACAGTCACACATACTTACAGCATATATACATAAATACACACAGAAACAAACTTAAATACATCATATATCCACATGCATGCACACACACACACCCACAATCACACACACACCCAGACAATACATACATATATACACACATATAGATACTTTATACATACGAACACATACATAATACATACCCACATACTTACACAGATACATTTACATAGAAACATTCTCATACATATACAGACATACATAATACATGCAGCTACATACATATATGCACACATACATACATCCACATGTATACATACATGGACTACATGTACATGCATACACACATCCATACATACACTCAAATACTTAAACATACATACTTTCAAACATACACACATCCATACATACACTCACATACTTACACACTTACATACTTTCATACTTACCTAAATACACACACATGCATGCATACATACACACACATACATGCATACATACACCTACATCTTTACACACATACATACATACCTAAATAGACACACATGCATGCATACATACATATACAATCACCCATACAGATACCCACATACATACATCACATGCATACATGCATCGCACATGCTTTCCACATACATAAAAAAAAAAGAAAAAATATATATAGACATATACTTACAAAACTAAATATACCTTCACATATCCACATACACATATACCCACAATCACACACATGCCCAGATAACACATACAGTCACACACATACATAGTTACTTTTACACATACACATCCATAATACATACACACACACATATACTTACACGGCTACATTTACATACATTCATTCTCATACGTATACAGACAAACCTGATACATACATACATACATACATACATACATACATACATACATACATACATACATACATACATACATACATACATACATACATACATACATACATACATACATACATACATACATACATACATACATACATACATACATACATACATACATACATACATACATACATACATACAGACATACATACAGACATACATACAGACATACATACAGACATACATACAGACATACATACAGACATACATACAGTCATACATACATACATACATACATACAT